GGGCAGATAATTCATTAGGAAATAGCCTCATGCCCTGTGTAGCAATTGAACAAAAATATTTACTTGCAGTAATATCAGATAATAAAGGTACAGGCTTGCTTTTAGAACGAGAGGGGGAGGGGAGGCCTGTAGTAGATGCCCATCATAAGCATTGCAAATGAATCATTAGCCTTCATCCGCAATCTAGGTCAGGGTGGGAGGGGGGGCTTGTAAATCTGCTATCTGCTCAGGTTGAATCTGCTTATGTGCAGACCCAGGAGGCAGCAGTTATGCTGTGCGGGAGCATCCTAGGGGGAACAGGAAGATGCTTTCACCTGCTAAAGGGACCACTGCCTGACCCAGGGAGTAATCGAAATAAAGAGGGTCGTACTTTCAGATGAAAGTCGTTTACATACACACAGACACTACTTTCCCCTAAGCTTTCCCTGGTTAACTTTTCAGGTCTTGAGCAGTGTGACTGCCAGATAGATTTTAAAAGGGAGAGAATATCTTCCAGATTCAGGATTATATGGATTCCTTTTCTAAAAAAAAAAAAACAAAAAAACAAAAAAAAAAGAATCATTCTTGGTACAGGAAAAGGACTTTAGGAATTATCTAGTCATGTTAAAGAAGACAGGAATCGAGAAGGAGTGGGTTTTCCTTGCCCAAGGTCATACTGTGTCCTATACCATACCACAGTTTATTTTTCTTTTGACTTTTTTTTAAAGAATCCTTTTCTTGCACAATATGAATAATTTATTAAATAACACAGAAACAAAAGAAATTGACACTACCACCCGATAGGCTGAATTGGTATCAGAGACCCTAAGCATGTGCCTCATCGCTTCTCCCAAAATAACTATAAAGAAGATGCTAAGGGATGAGGTCCTTCCTCAAAGCCTCCTGCGATAGCTTCAATATAATTATTTTGGGGATCGATCATGGCTCTTAATTCACTTGGTCAAAGGCTCTGACACTTTCTTGTGGCTCTCCTTCTAAGTTCCAGAGCTCACACGAGGCTAGGTGGGTATGTTTTCCTTAAAAGGGCTCTGAAATGTTGCTGCAAGTAGAGAAATTTAAGTAGAAAAATTTGATTTTCAAAATTTAACCCAAGCTAAACTCTAAGTGAACTTAATAGGGTAGGCTATTGCTTTTTTTCCCTTCAGTAGATATTTTTATTTTTAATTGACGCACAATTTTACATATTTATGGGGTACCGTAGAATGATCTGATACCTGTATGTATACAATATGCAATGATCACATCTGAGTAAGTAGCATTTCCACGTCCTCAAAAATTATTTCTATGTGTCGGGAACCTTCAGACTCTCCTAGTTATTTTAAAATATATCATAAGTTATTGTAAAAATATAGTTACCTTAGGCTATTCTTTTATTTGCCAAAGTCCTAAGAAAACCTTTGAAGCTCAAATATGATGTGAGGAAAAAAATACACAGCAAGAAAGGAAGAGACCCAGGTTTGTTCTTAACTTTCCCTGTGAATTTGCTACAGACCATCCACATGGTGCTTGGAAGCCAGGCTTCTGTCTCTCTGGGCCTTGTTCTCCCTTGTTTATGAGGCAGAGAGGAGAAAGCCCAAGCATTCCCCACTCCATCATTAGCAACTCCGTTCAAGTAACACCTCCAAAATTGTTTGGTTCTTTTTTTTTTTTTCTTTTCTTTTTTGGAAAAACACAATATCTGCAGCACTCTGCAGTTATTTTCAGATGTGAACTGAACTAACATTCAGGGAACACAAAAGCAGTTCTGCATCTGCTGAATCTATATAAAGCTTTCAAAGGAGGTAGTTCTACTATTGAAATAATTTTCCAAAGCAGTGTTACTGGACGAAAGAGTGTGCGTATCTAACCAGTATTTTCACTGTCCAGATTGATTGATAAAGCTTCCCTCCACCCACCACTACCCCATCTCTCTTTTTCTATCTCTCTCCCTTCTCTCCCTCTTAATTTTAAAACATTGCTGTGAAGGCCTAGAGAGCGAGCAAGCGAGTATGCATATACACAGACAAGTAAGAACAAGGCTGGTTCTTATTTGGCTGGATATTTCACTGGAAATGGAGTTTCATATTCTGCAACTGGAAGGTGACAGAATATTCTATTTCAGGACACCTTTAGAGTGGAGGAACCCACGTAAACGTCCTGCAGAATGTTATTTTGATTTCTGCCACAGGAGGAACCACTTCTCCTGAATGCAAACACCAGCAAAGAATGCGTTAGAGGATCCGCCATCATATTAAAAATTAAATCCGGCTGCATTTCATAATGGGCTTTCCTTTTTAAAGCAGTTTCATCTTCTCACCATGGAAATTGCACTCGGATGGATGTTCTTTACCGTTAACACTGAAGCGCTGGCCGGGGTCAGAGCCCTGCTTCTCTGAACAGGGAGCCACAAATGTCACCGACACATGGTACGCTTGGCAAATAATGTATTTCTTTCCAATGTCTTACCTCTTCCGTTTGCCTAACTCACGTCTTGCTCGTCCTAAGCCGAAGAGTTTATTTCTCTGGTCTTCCTACCTTGCTGTGGTGGGACCAGCAGGCAGCACGCAATTTACAATGAATTCGGAAGGGCACCTCTTTTGATTTTTGTTGTTGTCTTTATTTTAACCTCCAAGAAGAGAGAGATTTAACTCAGTCTTCACCCCAGGCTAAGCTAATACTTAGGTCATGTCTGAGCTCTCTGGGGAAGCACCGCTTTATCCTATCCGAGGGGCAATGGTCTTTTTAGTGGAGCAGTACAGCTGTCCAGCCATATGGGCCCCAAATAGCCCAGTCAATCGGATTTGGGGAGGTTTTACAATGTAATTTCTTAGCGTGTTAGTATTTGGGGTGAGTTTGATCGGGAGCATAGACAGCTCTTAAGCCTAAGGGTTTAGGGTTTAAGAAGCCATCACAAACGTCCCAGCAGCATCCGATCAGACGGGTTAAAAACAGGAGATCTGGGGCTGGGGGAAGGGAAAAGACTCTTTACCCCCCGGTTGGAGAAAGCCCCAGGGGTATGCGCTAACTATTAATTCAGCATCAGCTGCTTTTTTTTTTCCCTCCCCTTTTCTTTTTTAACCGGGGCTCACCATTTAAGGCGTTCCCACTCCGGCCCCGCGGAGCCTGTTACAAAACCATCGCTCTGCTCCCCTCCCCCCCATGCCGCAAGATGAGAGCGCGCGGGTCCTGCATTGCAGGAAGGGCGCTGGAGGGACCGCATTGAAACCGTCCTCCCGCTGAACAAAACCAGGCCTGCAAGCAAAGCCGAGCAGAGGGCAGCAGCCCTCTGCGTCCCTCTCTGTCCGCCCTTCCGTGGAGACCAGCGCAGACTCCTGTCACTAGCCCTATCCTTCCCGGTAGTAGGGGGCCGAAACTACCTGCTGAAGGAATTCTTAGTAAACAACACAGTCCTGAAACTAAAACCCTGACCAAAATGGTGGCGGTCTTGAGGCAAGGAGCCACCAATAGAGTTTTTCCATCAGAGAAGAATTTTAGTTGAAGGGCAACGTTATTGCAATGACTTAAGTTTTCCTCCAGAGAGATGGTTTTTTCCAACTAGCTACAGCCTTACATTAAAAATCTAGTGCATGGATGTTTTCTACCCGCCCCATACAGCTTTCGGCTTCTCGAAATTTACAAAAACTGCTTATTTTCTAAGCTCGAAAGCGGTCTAGCCGTGCATTGTTGAAGCAGAAAGCCAGCGCTGAAAGGTTCTGAGCTCGCTATTCTTTGGGGCTGACACCCAACAACGGAGTAGAGCCGAGGTGGCCTTGAAGCGAGAAGGGCAGAGCCCAGGGCCACCACCCGCTGGGCCCACTCCAGCTCTTGAGCTCCTCTGTGGCCCCCCAGAACCCTCCAGCCGTGCGCTAGGAGAGCGCGATTTCAGGAGGGCTGCTTTGGGCAGCCAGGGCCTGTCTCCCATTTTTTTCTGTCCTGAATCCAGAGCTGCCCAAGAAAACACTTGGGATTTTTTTTAAAATCATAAAAAAAAAAAAAAAAAAGCCCGAGCGGGGAAAGCAGATGGGCCCTGTGTGCGCCTAAACAGCCAGGGTCGCACTGGCTCTTTGGAGAAACCGCGAAGACCTCTCCTCCCGTGTGCTGCGGGTTTTACTGGAGAGGGAGGCAGGGGGTTTTGTGCTGGGTTTTGCCCTTTGGATCAGATTCTTTCCGAAACCTTTCCCAAAAATGCTCGGAAAAAGCCACCCAAACACCCGCACAACCACAACAAAAGGTGCCTCCCCGAAGTGTGTCCTCAGGTCCGCGGGACCGGTGGCCCGACGGGGAGATGTACTTCTGTGCCTGTCTAATCTCCGACGTCCATCTGGCCCCGGCGGGCACGCGCGGCCGGAGGGCGTGAGGAGGGGTGGGGCGCGCGCCGCCTGAGGCGCGGGCACGCGCGCCCGCTCTCCTTCACGTTCACCTTGACTGGTGGGGGGGAGCCCTTCTCTTCCCCACACACCTTTCTCCGCACCCCACCCCCCGCCGCTGTCCCGCCCAGACGCCAGCCCCGGGCGGGGGAGGCTGCACCCGCGCTCCGGTCGCCGCAGCGTCCCGGCAGCCGCGCGCTCTCCGCAGTGATGTCAACAGCATCCGCCGCAGTCCCCCCCAAGCCCACCCGCCGAAGAGTTTATTTCTCCGCGGCCCGTGGGAACCCCCGCCCCGGGCGAGGGGCAGGCGACGTGCGGCTGCCTGGGACCCTCCCCGCTTCGCCAGGTGCCGTAGCGCAAGGCCGGCGGCGTGGACCAACCGCGGTGCGGCGGCCACTGGGGCGGAGGAGGAAGGGGACCGGCAAAGAGGAGGGGGCGAGGCAGACAGGTGTAGATTTGACTCCCCTGACTGCCAAGAAGACCCTGCCCGGGCTTGGGGCCGCCAGGGTGGCGTGGAGGGGGCGGATGGCGTGCACGGAGCACTGCAGATGTGGCGCGTGGGGGCGCGCGCGGGGAAGGCGCCCCTGCTCCCAGGATGGAAACGGATAAACGGAAGCGCGTGCGGGGGGAGGGGGTGAGAATCGCCACCTCCGGCCTTGGCTTTCCCGCTCTTCCGAGCGCTCCCATTTCTCACTTTCCCCAAATCCGCATTTTCCTTGGCACAGCTCTCCCGAGCACGAAGGAGAGAGAGGGAGGTGCCCGGGGGCAGCGAGAATGACGTGCGCTGGTGCAGAGGGGGTGGGGGCTGCGGGCCGGGCTCCGTGCACGGGCTCCTAATCCTCTTGTTTCGGAACCGTCAGCAGATGTGGCTCCTCTCAGCCGAATAATCCGTTAAAGGAATAATAATTTTTTTAAAAAAAGGAGATCGACCTCACTCAACGAGGACTAGGATCGAGATCGGGGCTTGGTAAGGATACATGGGGGAAAAAAGCTCCAAATTTTCTCAGTCCCTTTCTGCCTTCCTCTCTCAAGCCCCTCCTGCTCCCTCCTCCTCGCCCTCCTCCCCTCCCCTTCCTCCTCCATCCCCTGCAATCCGCACTCGACGCGAGTTCACGCGCAGGGCTGGATTTCTAGGCTGCACCGCGACTTCGCTGCGCGTTATTATCATCTGAGAGCGCTGCCTCCACAACCTTTGCCTTCTGCGCTCGCATCCTTCCCCCAGTTCGCGCTGCACGCATGCTCTGGTTCACCAAAGGGAGATTCTGAATTTTTTTTTAAATCATGATCATCACCATGATGCCCCTTCTCTTGGTTATCATTTCCTCCTGCCAGGTGGGGCGACCACCAGCGCCTACCCGCCGCCCGGCCCTTCTCCGGGCAAGGGAGCGATTTGGGCTCGGCCCCAGCAGCGCTCCCTGGATGCGGGCTCTGCCTCCGCATCCCTCGCTGGTCCATCTGCATGTATATCATTATCTCCATCCCTTTTATTCCAGTAGATTCACCGCCTTTGGTGGGGCTGGCTGAGATGCTACGAACGGCAAACAGTCTCTTAAAAAGGAGGAAAAAAGATGAAGACCTTGGGTGGACGCCGGAACAAAGCACCACGAGCTCTCGGGCGAGAAGGAACGCACTGGAGCGATAGCTCCGGACGCGGACACGAGCGATCTCCGTTGCCCAGCTACACCGGCCGTGCGCGCGGACCTCTCAGGGTATTCAGGATGAATTTTATTGATCTTTTTTACATAGCTTTAAGTGTCAGGGTTAGAACTAGCATTGGGGTTATTGTTTTGTGTTTTTCTGGGAGGAATAGTTGAATGGAGGGAGATCCGGGTGGGTCTAACTCGGCTTTCCTGCCCCCCGCCTCGCCTTCTTCAGATGCGGATGCAGGGAAGGGGAGTGGGGACCAGAAGGCTTAGAAAAGAGAAGCAGCCGGACGCTGCCGTGCGGCGCTCAGGGGATGGGTGGGCGAGGCGGAGGTAAGTGGGATGGGCCAGCTGGAGGAGGGTGTCGATCCAGAGGGGGATGAGTCTTGCCAGGAATAAGAATCCGGGTGTCCATGGAGAAGACCTGCCCATGAGAAATTGACATGTCCATCTCCGCGCGAAAGGAGGCGACTGGCTCTGTGTGTCAACAGTGGAAGGGTGGAGGAAAAGGAAGGGGGGGCTTCAGATAATGTCTTATTGTCCCTTTGGTTCTGGGGACTCTCCTCCACTCCCTTTTTTTTTGACTCTGGGATCCAGCCACATTATATACCGGTGACCTTTTAAATCTACGCCCACCTTTTGCCCGGTAAAGCCCATTGGCAGCAAGGGCGGGGTGGGGAGAATGTAGGGGTGCCTCTCTCTCTCTCTCTCCCTCCCTCCCTTCCTTTCCCCCTCCCTTTTCCTCTCCCTCCCCTTCTGTCTCCCTCTCCCTCGGCCCCCCCCTTCATCTCTCTCTTCCTCCCTCCCACCTCCCTCACTCCCTCCCTCCCTGCTACATTTTGCATGAGCTATCTAGGTCATTAGCATTTTAGCGTATGCAAGACTTGACAAAGCTGATGAGGGGCCAGATGGGCCTCGCTCTTATGGTTTTTTTTTTTTTTTCTCCCTTTTCCTTTTTCCCTTCCACCACTTGGGACCTCAGCGAGAGGACTGTATCGGCGAGGAGGCCGATTCCCCAGATCCGGTCCCCGGACCCAGGCAGCTCGCCCCTGCGGCGCGCCCGGCCGGGCTGCGCCTGGACTCAGCGATCCAGGTAAAGGCGGTGGCCCCGCACCCTGCTTGGCAGCCGCAGCTGGCCCCCTACTGCCCTCCTGGTCCCCGCCTCTCCTCTTCTCCCTCCTGACCCCCCTCGGTGTCCTGATCCAAGCTGAAATGGGTGGGCAAGGATCGCTGCGCCGGGCAGAGGTGGGGTGGATGTTGTTTTCTCATTGTCTAGAACTGCGGGCAGAGGAGGTGTAGCGCGCGGGGAGAGTCCGAGGGGAGCTGGGGTAATTAACACGGGGGAGGCACCCCTCCATCTCCCACTGCCACCCACACCCCCAACCCCCCACCCCCTCCGCTTTGCAGGGAAAGGCCTGGATGCGGGAGAACAAAGAGCCTTTGGAAGACATCGCCGTTATCTCATTGTCTGCGCGGTTGGGGGAGCTGCGGTAGGGAGGATGCTGCGGTCCTTTCCTGCCGGCGCTCCCCGCCCCCACCCCTCCCGCTGCCGGCGCGCACGCACTCGCGCGGCTTTTTATTCCTCTTTCCTCCCCTCATTCCACCTTCTCCCCACCCCCTCCCTTTCTTCCATCCTTCCTTCCTCAGGAGAAAGGCCTCTCTCTCCGTGTTCACAGCGGACCTTGATTTAAATGTCCATACAATTAAGGCACGCGGTGAATGCCAAGAATGGGGCTGGCTGAGCACCACGGGTCCGCGCGGCCCACCGAGGAAGGAAGGAGCCCCCGAGCCCGGCTGGGCTTGCCCACCCGCTGGCCCTGCACCAAACCTGGACCTGAGCCCTGGGGTGGGGAGGTGTGTGGCTCAGGACGGAGAAGGGTTTGAAGAGCGCACACACTCAGGGAGGGAGGCAGAGGTGATCCGGTGACAAACAGAGCTGTGCCGGTGCAGGTGGGGGGCGCCCGTGAGCCTTTGTGCTGTTTCTGTCTGGGCCCCTGTGCCTAGAAGTGGATGGACACCTTCTTCCGTGGCTATGTTTTTGTTCTGGATTTAGCCTTTAGTTTGCCTTTTAAAGGAAAATAATAACAATCTGGCATCGGGAGACCGGCAGACTGCCCTAGGGCCTGGCCTGCCATAGATTGTGTTCTACCTGAGGTTGGGGATGGGGATGGGGGTGAGATTTGGAAGGTGAGAGGAGCTGTTTGTCACCTTTTGCTGTAGAGCTGTGTGTATCTGACAACCCTAACGACCTCACTGGGCTCTGCGGACAAGAACGAATAAGCTCCTGGCAGTTTCACAAGCTGCATCAGGGCTGAGAGCCCAGCCAGGGCTCCAAAGTGCCCTCCCACCCATCCTGCGGCTGTTCCTACAGTTCCAGGCAGATATCCAGGAGGTGCAGCGCAAGGGAGGGGTGCAGTAACCCATGCCTACCGGAAGGAGGGATGCAGTCCTTATAAAATCTGAACAGAAGGAAAAGCAGTGTATGTACGGGTATGGGTCTGAGGAAAGACTTTTGAAAGAGGCTATCAGGGCATGGAAAGGGTTAAGCCCCCCTCATCCTAAAGACCCTGATTCTCAAATCAGGCCTTGCTCCCATCAGAGCCCCTGAGCAGCAGCTGGTTCTGGAGTCCCCTGTCACAGTCCCAGCATAGCCTGAAAGGCCAAGCTGGGGCAGGACCTGAACTCATTCATTTACAAGTGGAGAAAATGAAGGAGGGGCTGGTCCCCACCATAGAGGGAAGGGCAGGGAAAGAAGGCCAAGACCCAGGAAGCCTGCTGCAGCCCTTCCCCCTCTAGCTTGGCCAAGCGCTGTCTGCAAGGTCAGGGCCACAGCGGATGCCTAGGAGTTTAATTTGATTTCCGATTACGGAAATCAAGGCCTAAACAAAAGCTCACTGAGGGTCTCCTCTCCAAAGCCTCAGTCTAGCCCAGGAAATAAACTAGTGTTCAATGACACCGTGGGCCAGTACCCCTCCTGGCATGTTTTTATCACCCTGGTATTCACTGGGTGCCTCTGTGCCCAGCATTGTGCAATTGGTACATCTTGGGTTCTTTTTGCCCTCCTAAGGGAGTGCTTGGAGTCAGACAGGTGGAGACTTAAGTGTGCCGCACCCTACCTAAGTACCTCTGGAATCTTCTCTGGGCCTAACAAATGCACTCCATCCTCCTCACCCCTGCAGAGGGAAGGCTGCAGTGTGCATCATGCGACTGCGGCTGCTTTGCTGCCCCTGAGTCCCGGAAGGCAAGCCTGGCAGCAGGACGGGGAGAGAAAGCTGCTCTCACTAGCTAGCCTTCGCAAGGGTGGTCCCAAGAGACAATAGCCATTGGCTCCAAAATGTATATCCCTTGACACTAGTGGTCCCCTCATCCTAGGTGCCTTCTGCCCTTTCTGGCTGGGGAGAGCAGCCAGGATGCTGTTCCTTCCTGGGAGTGCATCCGCTGCTCCCACCACGCTCAGGGAGAAGGCTGGTCTAAGCCTCAGATGCCCTCACCCGACAAATGTGTGCATTAGCAAGTCCCTGCTAGGTAATAGCATCCCTGAAATTCCTTCAGACATTGCTGTACCCTCACTGATGTGCCCTGGGGTACAATCTCCCAGAGTCCACTTTCAAGTGGAAACCTAATCTGCTTCTCCCCAAGAGCTTCCCCCACACGCACCATGGGCGAGGCCTGCCTGCCAGGTTTGTACCACAATCTCCCCTCGCAGGCGAGAATTTTTGTATTTGTTGCTTATATAAACTCATTCTAGAGAGCGGGAGTGGCGTGGGTTTGCTGGATCTGTACACAGTGATGAGAGTATCTGCCTAAGTCCACCAGGCCTTGTTACAGAACGTGTTTTTATGTGGACCTTTAATGGCGCTCTCTGCCCCCTGTGTAATTTCAAGGCCCCTTTTACGTTGACCAAATGAAGTATCAGCAAAGGTCAACCAGATCTGCTTCTGTTCCTCTAAATTCAGGGCCTATTTATGCCCAGTAATAATTATTCAAAGAGCCTGAACATTCTGCTCTTTGAAGATACTTCATTCTTAACATTATCTTTTCTCCTTTGAGCCCTCCAAATTGCATCCTATGGCTAATGTGAAGGGGAGCAGAATATGTATGGCTGAAAAATGTAGGACAGGATTGACGCAGTTTGCTGACCAAGTACGTTAGGAAGGTCCCCTGGGTTCAGGTACACCACCCATCTGGTCCTCATCAGCATGGGAGCACCTGTGTTTCTCAAGGTGACTGACCAGCACTTGGGACAGATTGTGCCAAAGGGAAAGTTCCTAATCTTTTCCCTGCCAGAGACAACCCAGATCTGTTTCAGAGGGGGAAAAATTGACCCTTTGTCAGAGGCAAAGCTGAAACCTAAATTACTTCTGTTACCAAAGGAGGAAGGGGCTTCTGTGACCCAGCCAGGAACTTTAACTAGAGAAATGGACATTTAGAGGAGAGGCGTATACCCACATTTTTTCCACAGAGCCATAGCCATGGCTCATATGTACAGGATGATATTTGGACACGCACACGTACAAAGCCTGTCCGTCTATAGTCTCCACAGGGAATTTTCCTCTTTACCACTATTGAACTTACATAATGCCCGCCCCCCCATTCCAACCTTAGCACACAGTTCTAGAGGCAGCTGCAAAGCGTTCTCCCTGGGACAGATGGAGCCTCCCTTCCTCACTGGCTCTGTGGGTGGCTTTGGAGCCCCATGAGTCAACACGGGCTGACTGAGGAGTGTGCTGGTGGAGGGGGGGATGTACATGCGCACGCACACACACTCGAGTGTGCTTAGGCTTGGCCGGCTAATTCATGCTGAGGAGGATGTTCATAGCCACCATGAGAATTATGGTATCTAATAAAGATTTTTTTTTTTTCACTTCCAAGTCCCATCTACAATTCTTTCATTGGGTGTTTTTGCCAAGTCTGACTCAATTTGATTTGTGAAACACATTTAATACTTAATGACATCTCAAATGTACACCTAGAAGAAGAAAAAGGACCTCAGGTGGATTTACTGGAGGCAACGCAGTGTGGATTTGTGTGGCTCAGGGGTCTGGGGGAGGCCTGGAGAAGAGATTGTGCAGCACTAAATTTAGGCAGCAGGTGGGAGTGGGGGAGCCGGTTTTACTGAGAGCGAAGAATGCTCCAGGTTGGAAAGGAAGTGTCAGCACTTCAATACCGTCACCTTTGCACTTCCTGATCCTTTTGTCTCGCGATGTGAACAGTGCCATGAAATGAGGCCCTGGGCCGCGATCGGCAGAAGCCCCCAAATAAAACCTCCGGGACACATCTCAAAGGGCTTTTGCTCTCAGAATTAAAGTGGGGGTGCGGGGTCATTTTAAGTTCTCATGCAATCTGTTTGTTGCTCGAGCATACCCAGTACAAAATACTGAGACCTGGGACCTAGGAGGCAATACAGCTTAATTTTGTTACTTATGTCACGTCTTCGAGGCGTCCTGAAGGGCAGTATGCGGGGTTCGCGGCGGGGTGCGGGCTACAAGCTGTCGCCCAGGCCGCCTGGGCACTCGCTTTCCATTACACACGAGGCTGTTTTGCCCTCTGCATCCAAACATCTACGCCTAGCGAGGTGAAGATAAAGGGCCGCTAGTTTCCCTTTGCTCCATTTTGATTTTCTTTCTGGGATCAGGTACACTTGGGACACCCCCACCCCGAGATTGGGGTCACCTACATTTCCCAAGGCTTTGGACTGATGCTTGGTGCGCGGAAATGCGGGTTCCAGGATGCGCCCCAACCCAAAATCCTAAAGCTCGAGGGACACAGCTGAGACAGGGCTCCCTCCACGCCCGGGCCACCAGCGGGAGGGACACCCCGGGCGCCTGTGTGTTCTCTTCCGAGCACCTGAGCCCCCCGTGCTTCGCTCTGGAGCCACTCAATCCGGGACGGTGGACCTTAAAGGTAGGATCGGGGTTGGGGCCGCGGCAGGGCGGTTCGTTCCCAGCTCGGGGAAAATGGGCCGCGCCAAAACAGAGGCCGCGGCGGAATAAAAAGTGCGCCCTCGCGGCCCCCAGCGCCTCCCTGAGCGCAGGCCGCCGCGCACCCGCCTGTCGCCTCGTCCTCCCCGGAGTCTCTTTGGGGCCTGCGGCCTCCATCGCCCCATCCTGCCCCGTCCCGGTAACCCTCGGGGTCAGAACGTGAGAAAAAGAGGGTCCGGCCTGAGAGAGGACACTGCGGGGGCGGGCTGGGAGAGCACCGCCCTGGAAAAGGCACTTCGCGATCGCTCTCTGGACCTCCTGCCGGCAGAGTGAAAGGCCCTGGGGGAGACCGGGCGCCTCAGTGCATACTCACTCCCCTTGCGGCCACCCAACCCCCAGACTCCTCTGCCCTCCATACCCAGGTGACCAGCCAGGGTGCAGGGCCATCTGACCCCAGCCCTGGCGACAGAAACTCGCGTCCCGAAATAGCCACCTTCCCCACCCCCAAAACACACTCCAAAAAAGCCAAAGCAAAAATCCCCCATCCAGATGGCGAAAAACACACACTCCGCGGGGGACCGGTATGAAAGCAGCAGCCGAAGGCCCTGTGCTCCCAGACCTCCGACCTATACAGGTCTCTCTATAAAAGAAGGAAACCCCTCCGATTCCTCTTGGTGGATCCCGCCATGGTGTAGCACTGGTGTTGCAAGTCTGCTTTGGAGTAGCAGTACTGAAATAACATTCACAGCCCTGGTTCAAGGTCATGCATGAGCCGCAGAGCCCCCAGAGGTCACAGGTCAGGGTGGGAAGGAGCTGACTCAGGCAGTGGCCCCAAAGCTGACCCAGGAAGGGGCACCTGGGCTTCCCAGGGGTCTCCCTCCAGCCCCACCAGCTCTAGCACAGACCAGTGTGTTGATGTTTATTCCCATTTAATTGAGGCACTGGTTTAATTTCACATAGCTTCGGTTTAAGGCCCAATGGGGTTGTCAGCAGTGTTTTTCCCCAGTGCTTGTACAGAAACTAATTGCTGTTAATATCCCATTTTGGCGTTATTATTCATCAACCAGTTACGCACCCCATAGCCCCGGCCTTGCTGCTGGCGACAGAACCACCACACTCTGCCCGTCTTCTCCTTCACCCTGGCCTGCATCCGGTAGTTGCCCAGAGGTCATCTGTCTCTGTCTTCCCACTAGCTGCTCTGGGAAGGTTGCTCTAGGGCTCTTCCCCCTTTTGAGGAAAATTTCTTCTTGGCAGCTGAAGTAAATAATTTTCAAAAAGGAAATGTAAGTTCTCCCACTCTCCCTCACTGCTTCCAGACGCTTTTCTCGGGAGCCATTTTTAGAGTAGCATTTTTCCACCCAAAGAAGCCCTTGTACATCTGCCTCAACAGCTTCTGTCCCATTCCCCTCCCCCGATTCTGCTCCTCTCCTCCCCTGCAGGGACCCCAGCCACAGCGACCTAAAACTGCTGACTCCAGAGGACACCCCAAATTCAAAGAGTGTGCTCAGAGGATATTGGTCCACATTGGGAAGACAGAAACTTGGAAAAGCATTTGGAAGGGCTCAGCCTCCTCACCCAGGCCCTGGATCCAAGATCCTGATGTAGGAGATGATGCAACTGGGTACGGGCGCCTCAAAAAGAAAGTGCTCTCTTGCCTGTCTTTTTCTGTGCGCCCTGGTGCACGGAAGGAAGCAGGCACTTCTCATGGCTGGTGCTCTGGAAGCTGGAAAATAAAAGTAGAAATCACAGCGACAGCAGAAGATCCTCCTTTGTCTGCCTGCCCCCCTCCCCCATTTGGAAGTAAGGCTTTCTGTGCCATCGGGCACCCTCGTCTGCCTCCCGAGCGGCCCTGTGGCTAACAACTGCGGTGTCCGCCTCACAACCGGATGAGGAGGAGAGAAAATGTCAGAGCAGCTGGCTTCGCTCCCCTTCCTCCCCGGGCCACCTGGAGGCTTACCCACCAGCCTGGGAATCCTGTGGTCAGATTTGTGGTAGGGGGAAGTGGGCGGTGAGTGTTGTGGGGGGGTGTCTGGGACATTGTTAAGAAGGTGTCTTACACATAAGGCTCAATGAATGCCACCCAAATTGGACGTAATTAAATTAGCAGCAGCTGTCCTGCTTTTCCTGCAGAAAAGCTACAATTATGTATGAAGCCTCTTGGGCAAAGGCTAGATAAGAGTGCCCCTCAAGCCAGCAAGAAGCTGAAAAATGTTCCTAGTCCCTCTCCCCGTCTCAGCCCCTGCTGAACTCGCCCAGATATGTAGAGTTTTATTTTCAAACCGTTCCCACGTGGTAAAGAGACTGCAAGCTGTGCTGCTTCCAGGTGGAATTTCCAAAGGGATAAACTCGGCTCTAGAATCCTTCTGCTTCCCTGTAGAGAGCAAAGTCCCTTCTCAAATCTTGCTCATCACCATCCCTGATTCACACCTCACGCAAGGCTTTCCCTCCTGGGGTGTGCGCTCCACGATAAATGTTATCAATAATGAGCGTCCGCCTCCTTGTACTCACCCCTTGAAAAAGTCTGTGCTGTCAGTATTCTCTAAGAGGTGTCAGGACAAAGGAAGACTGAGGCTCCTTTATTTCCAACGAGGGTGTGAACTGCCAGAAGTTACTTTCCCAGAGATATTTGTTGTTATTGTTTATTATTTTACAGTTTAGAAGAGGCACTTATTCACGGTGCAATTTAAGGGCAGAGAGAGCACCGTCAACTGCTCATTGTGGCCCCTTCATTCCGGATGCCCCCCCATACTCAGCCCTGCAAATGCCTCCCTCAGGTGGAACTGATAAGAAAATACACTGGAAGAACTCGAAACGGATCCTGGTGGTTTGGTCTCTCCTTGGCTTTCCCAGTATCAGTGAAGGCAGGTTAGGGTACCTCGAGCCTGTGACAGTGGCATCTGTCCTTTGGCATGCCTGAGGTGTTATCAGCCTGGGTTAAAGCTCCCACATCTTAGCAGAGGGGAAGCCAGCCCTTTCACGTTATTTTGCGCAGTTGTGATGTCTGATTTCAATATTGTGTGAGTCGTGTTTAATTAATTATTTGACTCAATACAGGATCAAGTAACACAGTAAGTCCACTTTAACCCAGCAGCCCAAGGTAGGCTCAGAGGAGCTCCAGGCAAAAGAGGCTGTTTGGCAAGACTGGACTTCAGTGCTTTGTGGTGCTGGCTTGGCTCCTTCTCCCGCTCGGCCAGCCATTCCCTGTGGAACCAGAGCTCCCTCAGAGTCTTCTTGGCTCCCTAACTGTCCAAGCCAGAGCACCGGCCAGGGTCCCACCCTCACAGTGCATTGGAATTTCAAACAACCACAAGACCAGGCCCTGGAGCCAGTTTTTTAGGGCAAGAGGCAGAGCACGTTGGGGCTTTTAGTGGGCAGCAGAAGCCAGCAGATGCAGCAACTGCTTTCCCAGCTCCTCAGCAGTCCTCTAGAAAGCTGTGGCCTGAGAAGCATCCAGTGTGTCTCCCTAATCCTGGCTTCCATCCTACCACAGTACTTGCTGCGTTCCTCCGGACCACTCATCAACAGCACCAGCCTGGCACACAAGGTGGCAGTGTGGTCCCTGCTCCCAGCCCACATGGAGTCCCCATTGTGTCAAGCCTGTCTGGTCCAATTCCTGGATCACCCGTCACGCTGTGGACGAAGACCCATGTAAAGCAGCACCCGGGGCAGCTAGGCAAGTGATTTACTGTGATTCTGGGGCCTCTCAGAAACCTCTGGCCTTGGTCTTCCATTTCTTGAGACTCCCAGGATGCTAATAAATTAAGACATGCCAAAGCAGAGGTACCAGAATTGTGGCACATGTATAACAATTTTCAGTTCTGTTAGTGAGCCCACACTACATGTATAGCACCTTTTAAAAATTTTGCTAAAAAGTCTAGAGCATGGTTCTGATACCCTTCATGATTTCAGCAGAGGGGTTTGCTCAGGCATCAGCTCCCAAAAGGGTAATTAGTGCGCTGTGATTACAGACCACTGTTGCTGCATCCCTAGCTCACCACCAGGCTATGCAATTTCCTTTTTTTTTTGGTTTTTTTTTTTTGGTTTTTTTCCAGTACCGGGAATCAAACTCATGACCTTGTGCTTGCCAGGCAGATGCTGTGCCACTGAGCTAAATCCCCAGCTGCAATTTTCAATAAGTTACTGAAACTCTCTGAGCCATCTGTGTAAAAAGGTGCTGAAAATAAGGATGTGTTTCTCATAGAGTTGTTGCTAGAATGAAATGAGACCATGTTAAAATGTTCAGAATCACACACAGTCCTGTTCAGTAGAAACGTAGTGCAAGACACACACGGAGTTCTCAATTTTCTGGTGACCACGATTTTAAAAGTAAAAAGAAAGATGTGATATTCATTTTAGCCATATACTTTACTTACCCCAAAACATATAACCAAAATATCACTATTATAATGTATAATCAATATACAAATGAGTGAGATGTTTAACATTCTTTTATTCACACCAAATCATCCAACTATGTATTTTCTTTACATATATAGAGTACTTCAATTCAGATGCTAAATTTTCATCAGAAATATCTGCCTCATACTTATTTGAGGATTTCCTGGGTTGGTCTGCTTGATTGGTTTTGGTTTGGGGGACACGGTCTCACTTTGGGTTGGCCTTGAACTCAATATGTAATCAAGTTGGCCTCAAACTCATGGTAATCTTCCTGCCTCAGCCTCCCTAGTGCTGGAATTACAGGCATGGACACCATACCTGGCTTGCCTTGTATTTAGATTTATAATTATTATTCATAATTAAGAAGAAAATTCATATACCCATTAGTTCCAAACATTCTTAAATATTCTCTAATAACTGAACAGCAAATCTGTTCTAAAATTTAAATTAAGCGGGGTGTGGTGGTGCACGCCTGTAATCCCAGCACTCAGGAAGCTGAGGCAGGAGGATCACTGTGAGTTCGAAACCAGCCTGGGCTACAAAGTGAGTTCAAGGTCAGCCTGAACTGCATAGCAAGACTTTGTCTCAAAAAGACAAAAATAAATAAATAAATAAATAAAAATTTAAAAATAAATAAATAAAAAAGACAAAATAAATAAACAAATCATTAAATTAAATTTAGAATTCAGTTCTTGAGTTGCACTAGCTGTCATTCAATAGTCACAGGAAACTTGTATCCACTAAGTGTGCGGGTTTCAGCTGAATGCTTGGCACGAAATAAGTGCTCAGCAGATGTAGTTATGACCCTGAAGGCTGCAGCCCTCCCTCCCCTTCCTACCCTTCCCTTCCTTTGAGCCCCACATTGAAGGCCAGGCCTGTCATTTTCTCCACATCACCGCTGTGAGATGGTGAGCCCAGTCACAGGATCTCTAGTGCCTCCACTGAGGGTGCCTTAGTCCATTATTACAAAATACCGTAGACTGGGTAGCTTATAACCAACAGAAATTTATTTCCCACAGTTTCAGACACTTGAAGAGCCCAAGATCAAGACAGCCTGCAGTGTCCTCACCTGGTAGAGGAGGGCAAAGGAGTTCCCCGGGCCTGTTTTAGAGGGACTAATCCTATTCACAAGGGCTCCACCCTTATGACCTAATTGATCATCCATCAAAAGGTCCCACCTTTAAGCACCATTGCCTTGATTTTGGGCCACACAAGAATCCAGACCATGGTACAGGATAACTTAACCTTTACAAAGAAGCTATTTGCCAGGAACATCTTCCTGGGTTTCCCTGCTGTGATTCTAGGAAGGCTTCAGGATTATCTGGTATGTGTGTCAGGTGAGAGGAGAGACAGGCCTTGGTGAAGGGCTATTCTTGGAAACAATAACATGGTACATCTGTGAGCAGACATGACAAGACTAACATGGTCACACAAGTGACTGATGTTTGTTCCCATTCATAGACCAAAGGGCTGGGGATATAGCTCAGCGGCACAGCACCTGCCTGGCAAGCACAAGGTTGTGAGTTCAATTCCTGGTACTGGAAAAAAACCATTCATAGGCCAAATTGTATAGGGGAGAAAATAGCTGTGAGTGTGAGACATATTCCTAAATTTCACTTTGCGCTAATCTCTCATACTGTTATTAACAAACCTTTTCAGCCTCCCCTATATTCATTTTTTCAACTATTATTGAAATTTTGCTGTGTATCAAACACTGATGTCAGCCGGAAGCAATCTTTGGGTCAGTAAGATTCCCTCCCTCCTTGCTGGCTTGAGCACACCATGCAGCAAAGAGAAGACAAATACACAAGCAATTAGGACCGAGGAGCTATGAGCAAAATCGTCAGAACACTGTGAAAGTTCAAAGGAAAGGGACACTTTTTCCAGTAAGAGGGTTGGGGAAACTTCAGGAGCAGGTGGGATTTGGGGGGTGGGGGAAGAGGGAGCATCTGAAGTGGTAAGATTAGCACGCACCCTGCCCCAGATGAGGGCGTTTTGCAGAGCCACGCATAAAGACAGTGACATCAGAAGGAAAACACGGGTCCAGATTGCAGGTGGGAATTGCTGGATCATATGATGGTTTTATTTTTAATTTTTTTGTGGAACTGCTATACTATTTTCACCATAGCTGCTCCATTTCTCCACATCCTTGCCAGCACGTGTATGTGTGTGTGTGTGTGTGTGTGTGTGTGTGTGTGTGTGTGTAGCCATCTCAAAAGGCTATGACATGGTATCTCATTTTGATTTAGATTTTCCTTTCCCTGAAGGAAAGCTGACACGTTTCCATGTGTTTATTGGCCATTTATATATCTTCTTTGAAGGAATGACTACTGAAGTCTCTTTAATAAGGTTGTTTGCTTTTGTTGAGTTGTTGCAATCATTACATTGGTAAATACTAAGGGAGTTTGGTAAATGGAGCAGAGTCTGCAGTCCCTTCCCCACTGAATAACGTCTTGCCATCTTCAGCCTTGTAGTGGAAGGTGGCCGGTCACTCGCCTACCCATGGTACCTTCATGACACCTGGTTTCTTTGCTTATATCCTCAAACCTTCTTCCTTGATTGGGTCTCAGAAACCCTTCCTACTCTTGTCTCCAAGTCCTGAGAAGATGCTTAGCATCTGAAGGGCTTGTGTTCCAAATCTATGGAGCACTTACAACAAAAGTAGAGTCCCATCCCTGACTCTAACCTCCAGCATACTGTTCAGAACTCTTCTGACTTCAAGCAACAGAAACCCAATCTGACCCAGTTTAAATGCTAAGTGGGGGCTATTGTCTACTGGGCCCCTCTATAAGGATCTAGTGGTGCCTCAGTAACAGGTGGAAATACCAATCCAACCTCTTTCTTGGGTTCCTCATCTAGGCTCCTTTCTGCATTCATTTCATTGTTCTCTCTGCCCTGCAGGCCTCTGCCTCCCAGGCCCACACAGCAAGGAACATGGCCAAGCTTGGCACTTCATGGTCCAGCTTGGGTCAAGCGCCCACTCCTAGTGCAATCAACTTGTCCAAAGGGGTGGAAAGCTACAGCTAACCAGTGGGTTTAGGCATATGTCTGGCATATCCATGGCAACAATGGATGGGAGGGATGAGTGTCCCCTGGAGAAGGTGCCAGCCAGCACCACTGCATCCACTGCTGCCCTTGTGCCTCTGGAGGTGTGCTGTGCGCACAGTGTGTGGGGTTGGTCCGGTGGAATGTCTTGTTTCCAGATTCAAAGCCATCAGATCGTCATCTGCCTCCCACACGCATGCCCTCCTCCAGGCTCCTCCGCACCTGAGCTATCACGTCCTCCAGGGGCCTGTGGTTTGAAACACCATTTCTTTTAACCTTGGGGCCACGGTCTGTACGTGCTTCAGCCTCCAGAATCAGTTCATGACAAAAGCTGGCTGCTATTTTTTTAAAACCCTGCACAGTTCTTGGTGCTTTTCATATCAGCGCAGTGTTTCTGTCTTCCTGCAAGCTGCCAAGATTTTTCTCTCCTCAGTAGAAAAGAAAAGAAAGGAAGGGGCTGGGGATTTAACTCAGCGGCATAGTGCCTGCCTGGCGACCACAAGGTCTTGAGTTCTATTCCCGGTACGGGGGAAAAAAAATTTTTAAAAAAAAGAAAAGAAAAAGAGCACAAGTAATACTAGACTCTTCTGTCTCAGAGATTCCTTGGCAATGAGCAGGTTGGGACCTGAAGACTATCCCATCGGGGCACCCTTGTTCCCAAATGTCGCTAATTCTGGATTGAATTCTCCTCTGTGGGCCAGATATTGAATTAATGACTCACCCATACCTTCCGTTTCCTATTGTCTCATCTAATAAGTGTTCCAGATATGAAACTGTCTGAGACCCTAACCCTAATCCAATTAAACCCTGCTACAGCAGCTAGACTTGAGAAAGACAAAGAGGTAGAGAGGTTAATAGCAGACAGACCTCCACTGCCAAGCTAAATTAGCCTTGCCCACCTCAGGAGAAATGTTAAAAGTAGATTACTGAGGCTGCTGGTGGTGATTAACATTTGCTCAAAATTCTAAGTAGCTGCTTTTTTTTTTTTTTCTTTCCAAGTTAAATGTTAAGCTGTGGAAAGAGAACAGGAGCTATGGGGAGAAGAATTGAAGAAGCAAACAGAAGGGCCCGCCTGCTGGCTGGATGTCTTCTGCCCAAAGTCATGGAGGCCAGGAATGCTGAGGAATCATTTTCCACTCAACCTTGGTTTTTTTCTCCGGGAGGAAAGATGGCGATTTCAAGACCACCATTAAGAGGAGCTGGGTTCCAGGGTAGGACTGCAGGGAGGGAGGCAGCTGTGACATCTGACCCTGGGGACAAAGGTCAGGAGCTACTTGCAGGACTTCTGGTTTTATATCTTCTATGAACTGGTCAGTGGGCAGGTTTACACTGACGCCACAGCGGCTGAGGCCGGAAA